AGCCTTGTCAACTTTGCATCTTAATTTTCTTTCCCCCCAAATGTACAAAAACCAAAACTCAATTACTTGCCTTCCGGAACTCACTTCCTTGATCCTGGATGGGGTGGAACAGTAGTGCATGCCTTCTTGGACCCTCCTTGGGACCAGCAGGAGGGACGGTGAGAGGGCTGGCCTGGGTGCCTTCAGGCTTTGGGGAGTCATGTGGAGAATGTTGCAGATTTCAGTGAGATTTCATATCTGGTACTGGGCTGAGACTGAGGAGATGTGTACATGGTGTCAGTTTAAATGGGCCACGAGCTGTACCTCCCTGGTGTTCTCCCCATGCTTACCAAGGTTATTTGCCCAGGGTCACAGAGGTGGTGAACGATAGAGTAGTAATGGTAACATGGTACAGGTTTTGATCCCAGCGTTCTTTTCACTGGAGGAGTGCCACAAACTTAGAGCGGGCTGGCCTCTCTGTACTTCTAACTTTCCCTTCATTCTTCCCTTTCTCTTCACCCTCCCTACACATGACTGTTGCCCACACACTGCAATTTTCCACACAGATGCCTTTGGTCAAGATGCTTCCTCTGCTAGTAATCCCAGCTCCTTTTCCCTGGACCCTAACGCACCAAATTAACAATGGGGAAGTCCACTCTTTTTTTTTTTAAAGATTGTATTTATTGGGGCGCCTGGGTGGCTCAGTGGGTTAAAGCCTCTGCCTTTGGCTCAGGTCATGATCCCAGGGTCCTGGGATTGAGCCCCACATAGGGCTCTCTGCACAGCAGGGAGCCTGCTTCTTCCTCTCTCTCTGTCTCTCTGCCTACGTGTGATCTCTGTATGTCAAATAAATAAAATCTTTTTTTTTTTTAAAGATTTTATTTATTTATTTGACAGAGAGAGAGATCACACGTAGGCAGAGAGGCAGGCAGAGAGAGGGGAGGAAGCAGGTGCTGAGCAGAGAGCCCAATGCGGAGCTTGATCCCAGGACCCCGAGTTCATGACCTGAGCCGAAGGCAGAGGCTTAACCCACTGAGCCACCCAAGTGCCCCAGAAGTCCACTCTTATAAAACAATTTTAAAAGGTCAGTTCCTAGTTATCCTACCCCAAAATATTTCCCTTACTGAGCTAACATCTACAGGCTTTGTCACTTACCATGCAAACTATTATATACAATAAGTTAATGTGAATAGGCCATGTCCTATCCCTGGACAGGAAAGGGTGAGTGTATTAGTTGGCTCTGAGGCAAAACAAAGGACCACAGAGCGGGTGGCTTACATAACACACATTTATTTTCTTGAAGTTCTGGAGGCTAGACGTCTAAGATCAATGAGCTGTCAGGGTTGGCTTCTGTGGATGGAGAGATCTCTAGAATTTCTTAGTCTTCAAAGGATACCAGTTTTTATTACCAAAGACTCTGCACTTAGGACTTCATTTAACCTCAGCTACCTCCTTAAAGGCCCTATTTCCAATTACAGTCACACCAGGGGTTAGGACTTCAGCGTATAATTCGGTCCATAACAGGCAGGAACAATGTTTCCAATCTTCACTTTCTCCCACCCATCTCACACAGCATCCTGTCTAACAAAATGGTAAGGCTAGATTTTTGTTAAAGTGTTAGAAGACCTGACTGGACCTAGGGGAGAGAGTGATATGGTCATTTGAATCTATTGTCCTAGTATGTCTTCATTTTAAACATTTCTAAGTTCTTTTTTTTTTTTAAGATTTTATTTACTTATTTGACAGAGATCACAAGTAGGCAGAGAGCCAGGCAGAGAGAGGGAAGCAGGTTCCCCGCTGAGCAGAGAGCCCGATGTAGGGCTCGATCCCAAGGACCCTGAGATCATGACCTGAGCCGAAGGCAGAGGCTTTCATCCACTGAGCCACCCAGGCGGCCCAAACATTTCCAAGTTCTATTCTGGAAGGTCCTGTGCCCTGCTCAGGACTCAGAGGTCTCTAGGGCAGTGGCATAGAGTTAAAAGGGAAGCTCCTGGGACCCAGGGGTGGGAACCACAGCAGCACATGTGTGGGCCCTCTCACTAACCCCATCAGAGAGTAAGGGACCAGAAGTTCATGCAGCATCTGAGGTTCCTTTAAGGGACATGGGGCAGGGCTATCTACTAGGCACATACAGTGGGGTGGGCCAGGCTGAGCTGGTGAGCCCATTTCCCACTGTGCTAACCTGGCAGGATTCTGAACAGTCTTTGGCAACCCCGGTGCCCCAGCAGGTGGTCACAATGGAGTGTGGGCTCGTATGACACAATGTGGCTTGAGAGCCCCTGTGGCCACTCATCGTGGATGCCCACATACTCCTATTGCCACTTCAAGTGGTTCGCCTAGAGCATCTGTTCTCTTCGGAACCCACCCTGATAATTCTAGTGGGCAAAAGGCTTATCGTAATTGGGCTCCCCACTTTATTTTTAATTGCTCAAGGCCCACTTGCCAGACTGTATGGCTTAGTTTAGCTACTGGCCACAGCCCAAGGGTAGCCTTTAGAGCATGCCTCTAGTACTCCTATAGCTGAATGTATGCCTGTAGCTGAGTCTCCCCAGGCCAGACTGCTGATTTCCGAATCAGTTCTCAGCCACGCAATGGAGAGCTGTCATCAGGAAACCAAGCTGCCATTTTTTAAATGTATGTATTTCTTTTTAAAGATTTTAAGGAATCTCTACACCCAACGTGGGGCTCAAACTTGCAACCCCAAGATCAAGAGTCACATGCTCCACGATTGAGCCTGCCAGGCACCCTTCTTTATTTATTTATTGCTTTATTAGGGAGCTTTATGGCTTCCATTTAGCAGTGGAGGGAAGCACTTTTCATAGGTTCCCGTCTCCCTAGGTTGTTTTGTTTTTTTTTTTCTTTTTTTTCTTAAGAAGGCAGAGAGGCAGGCAGAGAGAGGGAGAGGAGGAAGCAGGCTCCCCGCCGAGCAGAGAGCCCGATGCGGGACTCGATCCCAGGACCCTGAGACCAGGACCTGAGCCGAAGGCAGAGGCTTTAACCCACTGAGCCACCCAGGCGCCCTCCCTAGGTTGTTTTAAGCGGGACTTCTCTCTCAATGGCTTATTTCCCCCTCAGTCAGAAGTCAACTTTGTTTAGGTTCTTCTAGCCTGTTCATGCTGACCAGTACAAAATTATTGCCTTTTTTTTTTTTAAGATTTTATTTATTTATTTATTTGACAGACAGAGATCACAAGTAGGCAGAGAGGCAGGCAGAGAGCGAGGAAGGGAAGCAGGCCTCCTGCCAAGCAGAGAGCCCGATGCGGGGCTCCATCCCAGGACCCTGGGATCATGACCTGAGCCGAATGCAGAGGCTTTAACCCACTGAGCCACCCAGACACCCCAAAATTATTGCTTTTTTTTTTAAATTTTTTTTTTAAGATTTTATTTATTTGACAGAGAGGGAGAGATCACAAGCAGGCAGAGAGGCAGGCAGAGAGAGGGGAGGAAGCAGGCTCCCCGCTGAGCAGAGAGGAACCTGGGATCATGACCTGAGCCGAAGGCAGAGGCTTTAACCCACTGAGCCACCCAGGCGCCCCAAATTATTGCTTTTTGAAACCAATATACAATCTGTTGTTATTTTCCTCCTGCGAGGCTCAAGATTCCTTAATTTTCTGAGGTGCCACTTCCTTTTCCTCAATAGAACTTTGTTTTTATGTGTTGGGTAAGAAGTCATAGAATTGGTAGGAGTAAGAAAGTAAAATCAAGAAGAAACTAGAGGGGATTTATAGGAGAGCATCCAAATAGCAGCAGTTTATAATGCAGACCTAGGATGATGTTTAGGATATTAGAATTTCAAATGGGTTTCTTGTATTGGTAGCTGCAGGGAAGAGTCATATGGTCAGCTCAACCCATGTAACCTGAACGTAAGAATGTAAATAACTGGAAGCAAAAGGGCTAGGGCTCCTCGAGGACTACAGTCGACACTTTCTGAGCACAAGCAACTCACTTGTGGGGAGAAGAGGTGTTGAAACACTGGCAGGGGAGTATGGAAGAGACAGCAGAGAAGCCCACTGATAAAGCAGTTGCCACGGTGAGTGAATGCAGAAGCCCATGGCAAAACCGAAAACAAGTGTAAAATGTAGGCCTCAGAGATATTCCACCCAAGGGGAGAAAGGATCATGTTTGTGAAATTCCCACCAAGCATTAGCTGGGGCCTGCTCCCACAATGTGATTACCCTACAGAGCAGTGGCCTTTTGTGGTTTTGGAAAAATCCTGCAGACCGAGAGACACATGGTACAAGTCAGATGAAACCCAACAGAGGGAGAAAGCAGAGGGCGGGCAGGCCAACAGCATCTGCTATCAACAATTGACTTAGAACTCTCAGTAGAATCTAGTAGCACACTAATTTTAGTTTATGGATAAATTTTTAGTGAGTTTTTTAAAGCAGGCTCCACACACAAAGTGGGGCTTGAATTCACGACGTCTCAGCCAGGCACCCAAATTTTAGTAATTCGTAATCTCACTAGTTACTTGTGAGTGGCCTTTATTTTACTTTTAAAAAGTTAATGTAGGGGTGCCTGGGTGGCTCAGTGGGTTAAAGCCTCTGCCCTCGGCTCAGGTCATGACCTCAGGGTCCTGGGATTGAGCCCCACATCGGGCTCTCTGCTTGGCAGGGAGCCTGCTTCCTCCTCTCTCTCTGCCTGCGTCTCTGCCTACTTGTGACCTCTCTCTCTATCAAATAAACAAAATCGTAAAAAAAAAAAAAAAAAAGTTAATGTAGTATCAGGTAATTTTTCTACATAAAACCAAGAAAAGTATCTTTTTACACCTTTCTTTTACTTAAAAACATTTTTCCCCCAGGGGTACGAGAAATAAGAAAAATATTCCTACATCATTCATGATCCGTCAAATGGTCTCGAGGCTAAGGAACCACAAAGTTTTCATGCCTCCCTTCCGCCTGGACTTGAGACAATGAAGGTATAAGGAGCTTAAGGGAGTCCAAACACAATAGCCTATTACATGTTCTATTAATTCTTGATTCCAGCAAGGTTAGCTACAAAAAGAGGGCTCCTACAGCAAAACCATTTCAACTCCTGTTTATTAATTTTCATAAAACAATGAGTTACATATAATTACAAGAGTGCTAAGTTCTGGTCTTCCAATGGTCTTTTTCCAGTTAATGTCACATTGATATCTCTGTGAGTACCCTGATGCTTAATAAAGCTTGTGCGCCAGATGAAAGATTTTCCGCATTTATCACATCTGTAGGGCCTCTCTCCGGTATGAATGACCTCGTGGCGATGAAGATTTGCCTTAAAACTAAAAGTTTTTCCACATTCTCTACATTCAAAGAATTCCTCCTTGGTATGGGTTCTTTGATGCTGAATGAGATCTACACTCCGGCTAAAGGACTCTCCACATTCACCGCATTTGTGAGTGTTCTGTTTGGTATGAATCTGTTGATGGCTCAGAAGGGTCGAATGCCGACCAAAGGCCTTTCCACATTGGAGACATTTGTGGGGTTTTTCTCCGCTGTGGGTTAACTGATGTCGAATAAGGGTTGAATTCTGACTAAACGTTCTTTCGCACTCACTACACTTGTAGGGTTTTTCTTTGGTATGAATCCTCCTATGTTCAATAAGATATGCCATCTGACGGAAAAATTTTCCACAGTCATGACACTTATATGGCTTTTTCTGAGGGTGACACTGTTTATGGACAGCAAGAGTAGACTTCTGTTTGAAGGCTTGCCCGCATATGTCGCATACAAAGGGATCCTCTGATGTGTGAATTCTTTGATGTCGAACGAAATTTGCCTGACGCCTGAAGACTCTTCCACATTCACTGCATTCATAAGATTTTACGTTTGTAAGAATTTGCTTGTGCCGCAAAAGCAATGATCTCTGATGGAAAGGTCTTCCATACTCCTCGCATTTGCCCTGCTTCTTCCGTGTTTGAGCATTCTGATCTTGACTAAGGTGAAGGTTTTGAAGGAAGTCCTTGTGGCATTCATCACCAAGAGTAGGGAATGCACGTCTGTAAAGGTCCCCCAATTCACTACATTTATGTAACTTTTCTGTAGGTCTCTTGGCCATTGTTTGCTTTACCACTGATGTCTTACAGGACTCTGAATCTTCAGAAATTTTCTGTTTTGGAGTTGGCTTTTTCATCCTGCATCTGACTTCAGAACCTAACCAATAAAAAGAAAACATAGAAATGACCTGTGTACTGCAGAAGGGAAAAAAGAGAAGCCAACAGTGTATCAGACACTCAATGAAGCTAAAAAGTGCTCACTTAGTTATTACATCATCTGGCTAAAGGGGCCAAAATTCTGATTTTCACAGGACTCCTGGCTTCAATAGCAGAAAGAGTTCTGGACATCAACTAACCAACAGAAAAATGCACAAGTGTGTGCCAGAGAAGTGAGAACGGAACAAACCCATCAACTCCATTGGAAAATAACTTACTCTGGATACTCAGTAGTGTCACATAAGTGTAGAAAAGGTGTCTTATACTTTCTCAATAAGCAGGTTTTCAATAGTTCTGGGAGAACAACTCCTTAAAAATGGACAGTGTAAGACAGAATAGGAAAGGAACCAGAGGGAAGTAGATACAAAAGCCAAGAGAATATGGCAGTGGTTCTCAACCAGCGGTGATGTTGCCTCCTGGGGGAGAGTTGGCAATGTCAGAGGACCTCTCTGGTGGTCACATCTGGGGTGGTGCTACTCAAATCTAGTGGGAAGAGGCCAACGATACGGCTAAACATCCTACAGGACAGCCCCCCACAATGAAGAATTATCCAGCCCAGAATGTCAACAAAGCAGAGGCTGAGAAACTCTGGAGGAGAAGGATATGGAAAAAGGCAGAAGCAGCAATCAGGACACAGTAAGTAGGAAAAAGCAGATATGTCAAGAAACACCATGGGAATGTGGAAAATAAAATGGAAAGCAAAGGAACAAGAGAAAACAGAGAGGAAGGAAAAGTAACGAGGGTAGAATAAGGCATATCTAGTTTGGCGTTAAGAGCCCTTGGACGGGCTGCTTCAGAGAAGAAATCTACTGCAATGAATGAGCTTGGCAGACTTGAAATCGAATCCCAACTCTCAATCTACTGTGTGACAGAGATCTGAATCTTTTCAAAGTTTATTTATTTGCTTTTAAGTCATCTCTGTGCCCAACGTGGGGCTCAAACTCATGACCCCAAGATCAAGATCTGCACACTCCACCGACTGAGCCAGACAGGGGCCCCTGAATCTTTCAGTTTTTTTGTCTGGAAAATGGGACTAATGGTCACATGTACTACTTTCAGAGGGCAGCAGGGATGAAAAAGTGGGAGGAGATACACCAAACCCCAGGCTCAATCTCTGGGGCACACAAGGGGTTTCATTAATGTGGCTTTCCTGCCTCTTCAGGATTTCTACTCAACTGGGCCTTCTCCTCACCCACCTGGGCAAGCACTACTGGAAGCCTTCCTAGTCCCAGCTCTTGGCAGATCCAGGATCCACGGTTCTTCCCACTGCTCCAGCAGGCAGATCACCTCAGGTTTGGGAAACTGAAATCCTACTCATGGAGAAGTAAATGGGATGTGGTTAGTGAGTCAGGGAGAGATGTCCTGGTACTCAGCTTAACGCCCTTGGGTCTACAGTGGCAAACAGATAAGGATAATAATCAAAAGGGCTGGTGGGAATAGAATTCTGCCCAGTCTTTCTTTCTGACAATCTGACAATCTTTAAGGAAAGAAAGCCTCAACAACCGTCACACTCTTAGATGTGGTCATTTCACTCTTAGGGATACAGCCTACGGAACAATTAGGACCAAGATGAATGGACCAGAGCTGTTCAGCAGAGTTGTACCAGCGCAAAGCTGGAAATAAAGTAAACATCAACAGGGCATGTAAATGCAATGAAGGCAAAAGTATTAGGCAGATACTAAAAATCCATGTGTTCAAGAATATTAAAATAGGAAAATGTTCCCTATAGGTTTTAAAGCAGAATGCAAAACTCATGTGAAGTACAATCCAATTTTTTTTAAAACTATGCATGTGTATGTCTATGTACATAAGTATACATCTATATGAAAATACAAGGAAAAAGTCCAACCAAAATGTTAATGGGGATAATTTCTGGGCAGTGGGCCTGCAAAGGATTTTTATTTCCTATCTGTTATTGAAAAATCATTGGGTAATACAGAGAGACTTGAAAGTGCCCATACCCTTTGACACCAAAATTCTGTATCCTGGGGAATAGTCAGAAATTTATATGAGGATTTATGGTCGGAAACATCCATTCGAAAATTATAATACAGAAAATGGTGACTTTATAAGCAAGCCAACAACAATAAAAAAAAAACCCAAACTAAATACCCCCACATGGGAAAATGATTAAATATTACAGATCATACAATAGAATTACATTACGGTCATTTACTGTATTTATGGGGGCTTTTAATAGCATCAGGAAATGCTGATGCTATAATGTTAAGATTTAATGGAATTACAGCATTATATGAAGAATATGTTCGGCTACATTTTTTAAGAGCACAGGGGGAGAAAAACTGGAAGGAAATATTCCAAAATATGAACAGCGTTATCTCTGAATGTTCTCCCCTCCCCATCATAATTTCCTGAACCTTCTGTGTATTCAAGTCTGCTCTTATAATGCCTTTAGAAGGAAAACAGACATCAAAAACTCCAGAGGTGGGTGGACAATCCCACAAGAGGTGGTCAAGACTGTGGCAAGACTGTTAGTGTGGAGGTCAAATCTGTGGCTCCAGAAAGAAAGCTATTTGTTGAAGAAATGCTGCCCCCCCCGCCCCCAGAGGAGGCTGCACTGGAATAAGACAAAGGCAGGCTCCCCAAGGGAAAAAGCAGTGAAGTTTCAGATATGAAGTCAGTTAAGAGTCATTTCTTGGACCCCTGATATTTCTGCAATAAGGAAGGAACCCATTTCCAGAGAGAAGACTGAAAAAGACGTTTCAAGAGAAAAGAAGCTAACTTTTAGAATCCAATCAGCCATAATCTTTTCAGCTCCTACAGGTCTTTTTTTTTTTAAATATCCCATTTATTTATTTGACAGAGAGAGATCACAAGTAGGCAGAGAGGCAGGCAGAGAGAGATAGGGAGAAGCAGGCTCCCCGCCGAGCAGAGAGCCCGATGCGGGGCTCGATCCCAGGACCCCAAGATCATGACCTGAGACGAAGGCAGAGGCTCAACCCACTGAGCCACCCAGGCGCCCCATTCTACAGGTCTTATAGATGTGGAGGAGGCAGAGCAGGGTGGGGAGTGGATTAAGCATCTCTGACCTCTAAACCAAAGGAAACTATTCATTGCCCACAATCCCTTATTTGAAAGCTCTGAGGCCAGGCATGTTTCAGGATTCAAAATTTTTTCCAGATTTTAGAAAGATGATGTGGTGTGTCTATTTTTTATCATGTACCGCCCCCAACAGGGGTTGGAGCTGTACCCTTAATCAAACACAGTGATATTTCTGATGCTTAACAGATACAAAGACCAAGTGGGAAAAATAAGGATGAGACATAGCTTCCTGGAGGAAGAGATCAGGTTTGACCACTTGATGACTTTACAAGGTTGGGTCTTGCAGCCAAATGAGTTATGGTAAAAACTAGTTTTTGGAGTTTCTCTGATTTTGGAATGGCAAGTAAGGGACTGAGGACTTGCGTAGACACTCAGAGTCAAATCTTCAAGCCAAGTCATTACCCAACAAGATCATGTTTCTGTAATTCTCCAGCATCACATCTCTGTAGAGGTCCTTCTGAGCCCAGTCAAGTTTGTTCCACTCTTCTCTGGTGAAATACATCGCCACATCCTCAAAGGACACCAGCTCCTGAAAACAGAGACTAACTATAGGCTCAAATCATACAATAACTTTGTGAGCTATCACTATGATTCTATAGGTGAGGTTTGAGGCCGTCAAGTGACTCGGCCAAGCTCATTCTTTCTTCTCTATTAGAGTAGACAAACTTTTTCTGTAGAGGACCAGAGGGTAAATATTTTAGGCTTCCTAGGCAATTTGGTCTCTGCTAGGATTATTCTGCACAAAAGCGGCAGGAACAACAGGTAAGTGGATGGGCATGGCTGTGCTCCAGTAAAACCTCACCACCAGGTCCAGGTCAGTTTGCTGACCCTGCTCTCATACAATACCACCTTTAACACGGAATATGTTTCTGCCCTGGGTCCCCTGGAAAAGAGATGACACATTCAAATAAGGTCACTGAAGATCAGTTAGCATGCAGGCTGTTCAAAAGGAAGGTGCTTCATGGAAACCAACAAGGCCGGCTCTCATGGGGAACAATCACCCACCCCGTCTGAAGGGGAAGAAGGTAGGGGAGGGTTACTGGAATCTAGAAGGTTGTTGGAGAGGAAGCAAGACTGGGGCTATGCGGCCTCTGTCATCCCACAGCCCGGCAGGCAGGGAGCTGTTCCCACAGACCACCACCTTCTTCCAGGTTTCTGGCCCCCTGACCCCCTCCACCCCATTGTCAAAATCCAACCGGAAGCCAGAGGGCAAGAGAACCCACTGATGGCGTATAAAGTTCAGCCTCCGAGGGCACAGACCCAAGTAGGGGAGGCTGAAGCATACAGCAAAAGTGGGCAAAGAGAGACTATTTAGTACAATATATACGGTAGAAGTTTCCATTTACACGCGTGTTCAACTCAAGTGGGCGGAGAACAGAAGGTGCCTCACACTACTGCAGCCTTTGGGGTAGAGGCCAGGTGTCTGCCCACCACACTCTCTTCCCTTAGGAGAAACGGTGTAGCCTGAGGGGCTATCTGAGCAGGGAAAGGACATTCAGTAATAGGAAATACCACCACCACCCGTCAGGAAACCAACACCAGAAG